AGAGAGAGAGAGAGATAGGCAGACAGAAAGCGAGCGAGAGAAAGAGAAACGGGGCGAGAATAGATGAAGAGAGCGAGTGAACGTGCGAGCGTGCAGAGATACCGGCGCGCGCGGCCGCGTGCTCGCTCGGGTAAAGTCGATAAGCGATAGCGTGTACTCACTGGCGTAGGGAACAGGCGAGAAGAGCAAGGCCCGCTGCTGCGATTTGCCGCGCGAGGAGGAAAGGCAGGCGCGGGTCCTCTCGGCCAAGCTCGGCGGGCTGTTGTTTCTTCCCCCGGGGTACGACGCGGATTTCAAGGAACTGAGAACGGAGGATGGCGCACCGGGGTGATCGCGGCTTGAATGGCCGGAGAAGAGGCTTAGGTCAGGGCCACGGCATGACACTGCCCCTTTTCTCTCGCCATCGACAGACAGATTCCGCTCGCTCGTTCGTTCGTTCGTTCGTTCGTTCGTTCGCTCGCTCACTCGCTCGCACGCTCACGCACGGATGCGATGCGGACCCTCACTGCCGTAAACGCGGCGCCATGACGTCACCCCGCGCATCGCGCCGGCGAGGACGGCGCGAATCGATGCCGGGCGGCCGAACGGGCGCTGCGACGACCACCCTTTCCTTCGTCACGAGCAACGGCGGCCACCCCGACGAAAAAACGATAATCTACCACCGCGCGCGCGGCGCACGCGTGCCCGCTCGATCGCGCGCCACGAAACGTCGCGCCGGCCGGTGAAATTTACACGACCCCTCTGTATTACCATATTGGCATACGTCACACGTCGCTCTACCCTTATTCCGATACCTTGAAAAATGAGGGGAGTCTGCACGTAGAATGTGTGAGACATGTTCAAGTATATATATATATATATATACTTATATATACTTTGACGAGGATCAATCTGTCGATTGATTTAGAGAGAGATATTGCCATTCGTTGAACATGCTGAATACTAACAAGATTATTCTATTCTAATCCTTGGAATATACAAATAAAAGTGAAAATACAAAAAATATCTGGAAGAATAACGTATAATTATTATACACGTAATTATGTTCAACAATAGAGCAAA